GGTTCTAGTCGCTGCACGACGAACATTACCAGCACTTTGCGCGATAGCGCTGATCCCTCCTCCAAGGCCAGTAGCACCAGTTTGAGCACCTCCTCCTGCATGGCGGGTCCAAGAAACTGACATCCTCTTGTCCGCACCGCTGCCCACAAATTTGAGCTTAACTGCTGGGGATTTTGGTGCTGCAGAATCAGCTCGGTGACTGTGCGTTCGCCTAGGGATCTTGCTGCTCGGAGCGCCCTCACCCGTCCCTCTTCCTCCATCAGCTGGCAGTTGACCAGCGTAACCAGTTTTCGTAGCATGGGTCGTGTCAGGAGATTGCCATTTCCGTTCAGGTTGAGGAAGGACTTCAAGTGCAAAGCCAGCTCCTCGATGCACCGCTGACCCAGTTGGTAGCACTTAAGTTGCTCCGTCTCCAGCTTCTGCACAATGGGCGGTGGTGGTCCCAGCTCCAGAAGCTCCGAGTCCTTGACCAACTGGAGCAAAGCATGGTTAATGGGCAGATTGTCGATATCGCTGACAATCACGGTCTGAGCAAACGAAACGAGCAGATCAATTAGGGTTGGAGTAAAACTTAGATGGACTGCAACTCACCTGATCGAAGGGACACTGCCGGTTGTAGAGGGTCGTCAGGCATAGCTTGCAGATGGTGTGCCCGCAGCCCAGACTGACCGGACATCGCTGGCTGGCCGCGAATTCATTGCAGCAGATGGGACAGTTCAGAAAATCTGTCCATGAGGGAGCCTGAATCGGCATGCTGTGCGTAAAAGACATGAAAATACCAATCAATTTAATTTAAGATCAAGGGTAAGGAAAATCTCTTGCTTCATTGAGATCTTAGTGGTATTAGAATCTTATTAAATCTGAAAAAATTAGCCGTATTACCTAGTTAAGCGCAAGTTATTCTGCCTTTATCGTAACAGTTTCATAGCAGGAATGTATACTTTTCTTATCTTGGTTAGAGAAATCATGCTGTACATATGCTTTTTGGGTAATTCTAATGATCACATTAAAGTTCTTGGAAAACTTCAGTTTTAATATATAAAAGAATAAAACTATTTTAAACATACTTGTACCATGCTACATCTATAGGTCGAATCTAAAGAGCAATGATCACATTAAGATCAGTATATGAGATAAATACATATCTATAAAGGGTGAATATCGAATTTTGCATCACATATGTACGTTATTATCGAATTGATGTAACGATGAAAGTGACGTGACTCAAGATAGACTTATTTTCCATTTACAACGATCAAAAGTGGCACAGTAAAAAGTTTCGCTTTCGTCTTTTTCTTCTTCTTGCCATACCCCCAACGTCAGCTGTCGCTACACACATACACTAACGCGCTCCCCCACACAGACACGCAACCACACACACAACTGGCGTGTTGGTGTGCGGAGGCATTTGTACACGCATGCAAGTATATCTGTATGTATATAGAGCTAATATATATTTTCATACCCCACTTGCACTTCCTGGATAAGTTTTTCGCGACTTTACATTCGCAAAAGGATTGCTGATGATCCTTTTGAGACCCCTAGAGAGAGCCACTCTCACACACACAGGCATAACCGTTTTAATGGGGGACACAAACGTAACTCGCTTTCAACGTCATCAAGCATCCGCTTTCTTTCGAGACGCGAACAAAGGAAATTTTGGGCATTATCCTATGCGAAGTACCCACCCAAGGAATGCCACCTTCGGAAGTAGGGCTACAACACAGTGAAAGGTCCTTGAAACCAAGTAATCCCCTAGGAAAAACACTGAGCTGCACGAAAATCTCTCCCAACGTTTTTTTTCGTTACGTTTCACTTTTCACTCTGCTCCGTGGATTGCGCAGAAACTCGATCTAAAGCAGTTTTTGTCACTGGTGCTGCACTGACTCACCTTCAAAATGCACATATTATTGCATTAAAGGTACGAAAAGATGTTTTTTAATTTTCATTGGATTTTTGTAAGAAATTTGGGAAGTTGCAACCAGTATGACCGCAGGTGACGAGCGGCGGAATACTGAATTCAGCTGCCTAAAAATGTCCGATGTGTTGGTGCACTGCTTGCGCGAAGGGTCGCACTGAACGCACTCAGCTGATTGCGATGAGCAGTTATCGTTTTTGAAACTCGATAACCTTAGAAATTTGTTATCAAATATTATAAATTTGGTGTAAAATTCAAACACCATGAAAATATCAGTCTATGTTTAAATACGACGTTTAAATAAGTAATCTTTGGTGCTGGAAGATTGAGAAATCTTTCCACACTAAATATTTACATCTAAAAAACTTTTAATTCTTGGAAGAAAATTTCGCACAAAATATTATTTTATTCAGTTAACTACAATTGATTTTCGTACATTTTACTCGATGTACATAATATTTCTATGGTTTTTGCAGTCGAGTTATTACTTATAAACGGTATATTCCAAAACCGCCTCAGAGTTTATAAAACTCATGTATAAAAACCTATTTCTTAGCAGCTGCACCATACGCCGAGGCTTTGCTGATCTTTGAAGCATTGACAGCGTATTCCATGAGGCTATAGACTGGAAGTAGTTTTAAAAGTTAAATAGATATCCACTTAGTTACACTTGCTCAACTTACATCCTCCCAAAATGGACAGAACAGTGATGAAGCCAAACCAGTTGCCGGCAACCAGCGAGGTTACCAAATAGTGCAGGATGCACAGGACAGCAAAAGTAGCCCAGCCCAAAAAGTTAAGAAGTGTGCTCAAGCGCGGCTTGTAGATCTTCTCGGGCACCTCCTTGACCCCGGAATTCTTAAAGAAGCTGCCGGTTTCGTGGAAGCTGTCAATGATCTTGTCCTTTTCCGCAAAGAAGTTCTGCATCCAGGCAGCGGCCTCCTTTTCACCATCCGGAACCACGTCCAGGGGCACTCGGCGAATGTACATGTATGGTTCCACGGGCTCTCCGTTCAACTGGGACAGCATGGTGGGCTTTGTCTGTAAATCAATTCAAGTTGCAGAACGTACGTAATGGCTGAAGATCTGAAATGCTCACCTCAGCATTCTTCTTGAAGGCCAGATTGATGTCGTAGATGGCAGGACAGATGCCTCGCATGGTAGGCAGACTGGTGGTGAATCCTTTAGTGCGCGGAATCAAGTGGTGCTTGAGGACGGGGAGACCTCGTTCCTGGGCGAACTTGACGGACAACTCATGCTTGGCGGGAGTGAAACGGGTGCCCTCCGCGTTGAGCAGTAGCCACACGGGATCCGGATAGGAGAAGACCTCCGTCAGCTGCGTCTTGATCACCACCTTGTCCTTCTCGAAGTTGCGGTCAAGGAAGATGAACTCGGCCATCCACCATACCCAACCCAAGACCGGAACGTAGCGCAGCATCTTCTTGGCGTACGCCTTGGTTCCCCCCAGATTGCCCAGCTTGTCGGTGATCATCCATGCGGTTAGCCAGTCGATCTCGTACGTGTGATTCATCAGAAGCAGTCCGTGTTCCTTGCCGAAGAACTTCTGCTCGTCCTGGGGATCGATGTACACCCTCATTTTGCTGCCCGCATACCATTCCGCCACGCAGACAAGGACTGAAACGGGGGACAGATTCAAATTATAACGAGTCCCATTTTTGGCATTTTCATCATGTAAATAACAAATATAAAAACGCAACTAAGTGGGTTTACTTCAAGTTCCTAATCCAATTAGGAAAAACAGGAAATGTGCTGAATGCTACGCTATACTTAATGTGAATTAAACATACACCGTTGATTTCTATGATAATGTGTATAAAGTATATATGATACTACTTACTGCAGTAGAAGGAGTAGTGCAGGTAGTAGGCCAGACTGCGGGAGAGTTTCTTATCGAAGGGCCTAACGAGGAGAATCAGCAAGAGCTGGCCAATGTTGACGACGAATCCGCATGTGAAGAAGGTCACGGCGATCAGCAGTCGCCCCAAGCCCCTGAGATGCGACATCCTAGGCTAAAAATACACGCAAACTCAATAAAATCAGTCGGTTGGACCAACGTTTACGTAATCGAAAGTCGAAAGTCGTGTCTGCGATGCAGTTAATAAATATGTCCAGCGCGCGATATCGACTTCTGATTATATGGCCAGCACTCAAACTTTGCTCCCATGTGTCATGGAAATTATGGTACCGTAAACGCACACACCCGCACCAAACTGAATCGGTACAGTGAGCTGTCTGTAATATGCGAACGTAGGAGTCCAATTCTTATCGTTGGATAGGATATTTCAAGCGATAGAACGAATTTCAGAATCAATTAAGATATGTTTTATTGCATAGTTCGACGAAGAAAAGAGAACTAGGTTTTACAATCGTCCACAGTTTCATATACAGCAACACACACACACGCACACTTACCTATCTTAGCGGAATCTTAACAATTAGAGACCAGTTGCAACTTGTTCTGGCGACCAGTAGAATCAGACTGAATGAAAGTGACTCTTCTAGGCGCCCCGGCCCCTAATGATATGGATTCCGTCGATAGTGCAAACCAGAAATCCACAACTAACACTTTTAATCACTTGTTATCAGTCAATAGGAATGGGCGACACTGCTTATCGGCGAATAAAGGTGATTTTATGCTTGGCGTGTGGTTGTATTGATCGCATAGCCAAGGGCAAGCAATCGAACTAACGGAATGTGCGCTGCTTCCGATCGTTACAACTGATAAGGGCCCGAACGTGTGGAGCATGGTGATGAACACAAATTTCTGTACAGTGCGTACTGCTCGGTTGTTTAAATGTATTACTCCTGTTTAAGAAGGAACTCTTCTTAATTGGCAATTCTCCTGGAAATTTTCAAAAATAATGTAAAAACTTTACATTTATTTTACAGGCGAATGTGTGTAATTTCCCAACTATTTAGACAATTATCCAGTTGGAAATACTGGCGGTATTTTGTGTTAAGGTCACTCTTTCGTTGCACTGCTTGCCTGTCCAGCTTATCAGCAGCCCTTATCAGCACACTGCTTGTCGTACATCTTATCAACAACAACAAACTCGCACTCTCACGTTCTGTTTAATTTAATTATTGCAATGCTCGCCAAAATACAATTGATCAAACAATTAAATTTCCACTTAGGTGTACAACTACCAACTACGTACGCAAATTGATGGCTCCAGTGTGCGGGAGTTACCTCGTAACCATAAACTTAGACAAGAAAAACATGCACTTCTGTTCAAAAACACTTGAAATCGTCCGGGGAGGAATCGCGAATTGATCCATTTAGCAGAGAGATTTGTGAGAGGACTTTTTTTACAAAGTCACTTGTAGATAATTGAGTTCGACGACAATCGAAACTAAATGCGAATTCGAAAGTTACTTTGCGCTTGGAGGCTTGGAGGACCCATAATTAGATGCCTTGCTGATCTGCGTCTTGTTGATGGCCTGACCCATAAGCCAGTAAACTGGAACAAGAAAAAGTAATTTCAGTAAAATATACAAAAGGTTAGCTTATAGGGAAAGTAGGAGCACATTAGGATGAATAATAATATTTTCCAAATCTGAATTTTTTTTAAACATATCGCCCTCTTAAGAGTTAACCCCAAACTTACAAAGTCCCAGGACGGAAAGAGCAGTGATGAAGGCCGTCCAGTTGGCCGCCAGCAGGGAAGTGATCACGTAGTAGAAAATGCAGGACAGGGAGAATACCGCCCAACAGACAAAGTTCACAAGCGAACACAGCCGGCGTTTATTCACATATGCCGGAACCTCCTTCACACCGGACGTCTTGAAGAAGCTGCCGGTCTCCAGGAAGCTATCGATGATCTTGTCCTTCTCCACGAACAGGTTCTGCAGCCAGGCGGCCGCCTCCTTCTCGTCCTCAGGAACCTGTTCAAGTGGAATACGCCGCATCAGCAGGTGGGGTTCCACGCCCTTTCCATGCAGCAGACTCAGCATTGTGGCGGGGGTCTAAAAGTAGAATTACAAATTAATTATTCTGGTCTATAGCCTTAACAACACGATCACACGTTACGAAACCCCTTAACTGCTTCCGCGAGTTTAATTTAAAACCACAATAAAGTGCACCTTGTTGAATTCCATGCACTTTTCATTAGAACGACAAGTTACCTTGATTCAAAATGATGGTTGCTATGTTGGCAAAGTGCTAATAATACTCATGCACGTCACAAATAAGGAATATTAATCAAAATAAATAAATATGGTTTAATAATGACCACTTGATTAACCTTGAAATGTTGGTTTATGTTAATCGATCGATATCTTTAAGAGCATCAGTCTCAAAGTAAATGCGACACCTCTTATATGAGCAAGAAAATCCGATTAAAAAATGAAATTAGATTAGACCAACGTAATCAGACAGGTATTATCGAACTAGCTGATAAGCCTTATCAAATATTTTTGTGAGAAGCTTTGCCATGCAGAATTCTGCATTAATTGTATGGAACAATAAAATACAGTATTATATAACTCAACTTCCCGCTTTCGTTCGAGTTAAAGTACTTTCTTAAAGGATATATCTAGAAATTTGTCGTAATAATTACCTTATCTGTGGGCCTGTACGCTAGGTTAATGTCGTAAATGACCGGACACAGACCCCGGATGGGTGCCAAACTGGCAGTGAATCCCTTGGTGCGAGGGATTAAGTGATGCTTCAGAACCGTCATGCCCCTCTCCTGGGCGAATTTCACAGAAGCCTCGTGCTTGGAGGGAGTGAATCGAGTGCCCTCCGCGTTGAGCAAAAGCCAGGTGGGATCGGGGTAGGAGAAGACCACCTTGAGCTGCTCGGTGATAATAGTCTTGTCCTGGTCGAAGTTGCGGTTGAGGAAGACGAACTCGGCCAGCCACCAGCCCCAGCCGATGATGGGCACGTAGCGGATTGCCTTCTTGGCATAGGCCTTGCAGTTGCCCAGGACGCCCAACTTTTCGCAGATCATCCAGCCGTTGAGCCAATCGATCTCGTACTTGTGGTTCATAATGAGGAGGACATGCTCCTTGCCGGCATGCTTCTCGAAGTCCTCCTTATCCATGTAGACAGTCATCTTGCTGCCGGCGTACCAATCGGACACGAAGATCAGTTCTAACAGATTGGAGGTATTACGTTTGGAACTCCTTATTGGAACTGGGTAGAGTATACTCACGGGAGTACAGCGAATAGCAGGCATAGTACATTAGCTTGCGGAAGAGTCGCTTGTCTATGGGCTTAATAAAGATGTGCATCAGCAGCTGGATAAAGTTGATGCACAGCCCGCTGGTGAAGAAGGTGAGCGCGATGCACAGGTGTATCAGTCTCAATTGTTTCAGCTTCTCCAGGGAACCCATTTTGATCTGCAAGTAGCGATGTTTACCCAATAAAACGGCAGTCCTTACGTAATCACTATTAATTAATTTTAGGTTGTTCCCCCGGTAGTGCTCATAGGCCCTCACTTTATGATTCCGCGCGTGAAACACCCCGTTTATGACCACTACCGCACTCACTCGAGTTTCGTATTCTTCAATAAAAGCACGCGGTCAAGTTAAAAGAAAGCGTGAAATCCGGGAAGGCAACCACCTGCACCACCGGCTGGCAATGGACTGGGGCAACCAGCAAACGGCAGAGATATTCGCCAGATATCGTCGGGGGCCATAGGCAATAGGCTATAGCTTTCATAGATTTTGCTAAGGCCGCTGCCGGAGGAGGAATCTAATCATGCCTTCTCCGTTGGAAATAGCTACAGTCGCTATGGACAAAGTCCGGCTGTCCGACGGATAGTCATCATAGGGTAGATACTCGCACTTCACAGTGGAAGCTCGCAAAAGTAATCTTTAGAATAAGTGGGTTTATGAAAGACCAAAGTGTGCAAACAGTTTAGAAAAACTTGTTTAGAACAATGCGGCATTTCAGAGAAACTACTACAGATTTAGCAACCGTTTTAATAATTATCCTTTCATTGTGGTAAAAAATTAATAATAATTATAATAATAATGATTATTATGATTAATGAATAATGAATAATAATGATTAATAATACTTGGTTTCGATATGGGATATATTGAAATGAAAGACTAATAAAAATATAATTTTCGATGATTTTTCTATATGTATGTTTTGCAGATGCACATGTAAGATCAATAAACATTTAACTTTTTATAAGTGTCGCTAAGTTTTTATTTTTAATACGTTTAAATGGAAGACATTATTGTATAATCAACAGGCTTTTTGTTCAAATAAAAATTATAAATTGAAAACTTCGAAAATTTGGAACATGTCGAACATAACGATATAAGCAAGCGAATTTTTTGCTTTGAAATCTTTTGCTTTGACACGAACTATAAAAAGGGACTCCATATATTTACTTGCACCATAGAACATCGTTTTTTTAATTTAAGGGAATCAATTCGTATTAATTCAAAACACTGAATTTTAAAATATTTTAATGATTATAGTGCGTTTTAAACTTTATGCAAAGAGGCACGGAGTAATTTGCCAAAGCTTATTCAAGACATTTCTTATGTATGTACATCCACAATAGCTGAATAAACCGAAAATTCGCTGAGCCAAATTGATTGGATTTTTGTTGCATTCAATTGGTGACCCCCGCGTTGCTTGCCGAACCCCTTGCATTGAATTAGTTTACTTTTTCGATCGTCCACTTTACATAGAGTACAACAAAAGAGTTCTTGCGCCCGAGCGTGTGCATGTGTGCGTACGTGCATGCATATATGTGCTCAGCTGGGCCACGTGTGCGAGTGTGGGTGTTTGGGAGAGGCGTGGGGTGGCGTGACGTGTTATTTTATGGCTATTTATGGTTATCAGTCGATCAGCGAGTCCATCACCACCCACAAATGATCAATAACAAAGTTCAATTGGCAGGGCTATCAATCTGCAGCTGCGCCGCTCTTATCGGTTATGCCCTGTTACGCATATGTACATATATATTAAGAACATATATGTATATGGCACTGTGGGTCGTTCCCTTTGTTTACAAGTGTCACTGGGCGGGAATCGGTTGCTAGTCACTGGTCATTACTATATGTGTATCACTCGGCGCCGTCTTGCCCGCCATTTACCTTTTTGGCAATGTTTTTGTGCGAATTGATTTGTTTTCTTTTGTAAGCCAAACGGTATGACCGTTCGAGTGCAATGACGTTACCACCGGTGGACAATCGGAAAATCGGTATTATTGCCTTTAGGTTTTTTTAATACTAACTAATACTGAATTCGTCAACAGTATTGTCAATCTGAAATGTTTTGAGTACATTTTGATAATCTAGTTAAAAATTGTTATTGATTATCTCAATGATTTGTAATATAAGCTAATTTTTACAATCTATACACTTCGTAATTTTAGGACATCTTTGTAACTAACTAGTTTTGTACTATTACTAATTACTAATTACTAGCGATTAATTACAAGCTAGTAATTTTCATATTCCACAATTATCAAATAGAATTATTAAAAGCGAAATTCGTTATCTTGATTTTTCTTGGTTCTAAGAGTGGTGAGAGGTATTTTTTTTAGTATTATTTGAAGCCTCTAAAGAACCTGGTTACCCTAAGGGTTTGCGTCAACACTAAACGCCTGTCAGAAAATCATTCGCAAAATTGAATACCAAGTTATTTTTCTCGCGATTGGAAATTGGATTTTCTCTGAAAGTAATCGCTTAAAAGCTGGGGAAAACCAGAATTAGCCTTCTTTGGGTCGTGGACCAAGATTTAAAGTGATTTTCAGCAGCTGAAAAAGTTAACTCGGCGGCGGATCGGAAAATTCAACCGGCAGACGCTGTTTTCTTTGGCCAAATTTGCAGACGTGAGCGCGTGAGTTTTTGGGGGGTTAATGCCAAAGATGTACATACCTGACCGTCGTCCAGTTGCAGCTGAAATGACCAACGTGGAGATCTACGACTCCTCCAATTCGCAGCTGAGTAGCGACGAGTATAGCCACGAGGAGGAGGACTACGACGCCTTAATGGACGCGGCGGTAAGCAAGCAGCGCCCCCAGAAGACAAAATCCATGGGATCCGAGTCAGAGAAACCCGGAAATGGAGCTCCGGAATCGGCGGTTTCCACTGAAAAAGATATAGAGCCGGATGGCGCGGCGGTACCGCCTTCGACACGCTCAGAAACAGTCCGCCGCATCCGCCAATTGCAGTTACAGCGGGGCAGGTTACCCAATCTTTACTTCAAGCGTCGCAGTATTCGCTGGTAAGGCTTTTTCGACCTAAATAACCTACCGAAACTCTTATCCCCTACCTATCTCACTTTAGGATGCGACCCAATAAAATGGAATACAACAACTATTTTGACGGCCTGAAGGATTTGGTGCCCAAGCGCAAATTGAAGCACCTGGTTCGCTTTAATGCCAGGCAGCGCAGGACCTACGATAGCAGGAGCCCCAGTCGTAGTCGCAGCCACAGCCGCAGTCTTAGCCGTAGTCGTAGTCGCAGCTATTCTCGGAGCCGCAGCGGCAGTGGTTCGCCGGAACTCATTTGTCTTGATGACACGGAGAACGAGGAATCACCTGAGAAACCAGAGGCGCAGTCAAGGGTTACGCCCATCAAGGAAAATATTTCGAGTGTTCCACCGCCCCAACTGAACTACGAGATGCCAGAGACGAAAAAGGCAAACGCTCTTGGAAATAACGAAAACGGTGCCTCTATCCTCGACGAGTTCTTGGTAAAGAAGGATCCTCAACAACCAGGATTTGACTACGAAAAGCTCTCCGCATGCCTAGAATTGGAACAGGCTCTAAAGGATCAATCGCGAGGTGAGCCAGATGTAGCACAGTCGCTGGTGGTTGATGCCACTCTTAAGAGACGACGTTCGGTAACACCTCCTGAAAGCGACGAGAAACGCAACAATGTCGAGGATGACGACATAATTGAGTTTTTACCGGTGCAGCAAAAAACAACAATAGGGGCAGCTCCACCATTAAATCTTCAAGTGACCAGCACTCCAGCGGCTAATCCTCTTCAGCATCAGCCAGCTTTTAAGCTGAGCACACCGTATTCCCTAGCACCGCCATCTTCTGCCAAGCAAGCTGAAAAATCCACTCCCGAATCTTACAGTTTAAATACACCTACGCCAACGGCCACCCCTATGGAGATATCCTATCCCAACGAAAAGCTGTCAAAAGGTAATGGGCAGTCTTTCTCAATTCAACAGGCAGCTTTACCGCAGGTCGCTGCATCATATGCAGCTGCCCCCCAAATGGCTGCCCTCGCCCAGAGAGCTTCATCTCAGGCTGCTCCACTACTACAAGCCCCTGTGCAACAGATGCACTTCCCAAGATCAGCTCCACCACAGCAGCTTCCTCCAGCCAGACCTCCACAACAACTGCCTACAGCTTCATCCGCTCCACCGCAGCCCTTGGCTCGACCGAGACTAGCTTCACCACATCAACTGGTTCCGCCAAAAGCAGTGTCACCACAGCATCTAGCTCCACCGCAGCAGCTAGGTACACCTAGATCAGTTCCACAACACCAGTTAGGTATACCGAGATCAGCTGCGCCACAGCAGGTAGCTCCACCACAGCAGCCAGATTCATCAAGACTAGCCTCGGTACAGCCGTTGATCCCACAAAGGGAAGCTGCTCTACATCAGATTGCCCCACCACAGCAGGTCCACCAAACCCCATCTCAACCGTATCCTGCTCCAATTGTTGCTCCCAACTTTGCGGTGCCCCAGCAGCCGCAACCCCGTCGATCGGATACGGTGTCTACCCAGACGCATGGTTTGCAATCACAAGCGTCTTCTTCTTCAACAACTCGGCAAAAATCATCCATTGATCTCAACAACAGCGATGCCAACTTCCATTATCGCATCAAGGAACTCTTTGGAGAATTTAATTCGATAATGATAGATAAAATTGACTCGGTGCGCCCTGAAAAGGATTCATTAGGAAAAGAGATCGAAGCCCTCGAAGCGGATGTTACAACCCTAGATAAACTGATTGCCCAGAAAGAGGAGGAATACAACCGTCTGCTGCACCTGCGTTGCGTTAAGAAGGAGCTGACTTATCGACTGAAGCGTAAACAGCGTCTGGCGCTTATAAGGGATCTACTGCCCGTCCTCCTCAACAACAGCTGCAGCGCAGATGAGCTGCGCGAGATGCAGACGATGCTAGAAGAGGAACAGGATGCTCCGATGGCCGCCAAACATGGTCTGTCGGCAGTCGAAAAATGTCTTAATTTCGCCGAGCACAACCAGAACAACATACGCATTCTGCGCGGGTAAACTTTAATGTTCAATTGTGAGAATCCAAAGTTTAACTTCGCCATTTTCAGTGCCATGGGCTTAAAGGAACGCGCCCCGCCCGTGTCTCCGCGCTATTTCGAGGAGGACCAAAAGCTTTTTCGAAGAGATTCCTTGCCCGTAAGTCATCTATCGATGCGCGATCAACGTTATGATTCTCAGGATGCTGTAAATGACCATTATCAGGCGGAGCAAAATCCGTACAGAGCTCCGCTAGCCAAGCGACCAAAGCTAATGCACCCGCAAGACAGGTGAGAAAATAAAAATACAACATTTCGCATAATTTGAATGTCATATAATTATTAGGAACCTGGAGGTGTCAAGCTCCTTGGCAAATTTGTCTGACACTCTTTCAGATTCGCTCAACAAGATTAGGGCTTTGAAAAAATCTTCCCGTAACATCTCATTGGAAAATAATTTGGATAATGAATCACTAATCGAACCGCTGTTTAACAGCAGTCCGATGGTCTCTCATCGCCAATTAGCCAGTAGACAGGTAAGAAATTAATCATAGTATTTTAGAGTTTACTTGAAAATAAATGTTCCTATTTAGCACTACCCAGAATTACATTCCGCTAGTAGCAACGACCAAGAAAAGGTCGAAAAAAGGCACAGGTCTCACAAGAAAAAGCCGCATAAGAGCACCCATAAGTCTCATCCTGAATCTTCCGCCACTGCCAACGGCAAAACAGGAAGACGCTGCCACGAGTGCAAGCTTTATGAAGCCACCTACATGTGCTCCAAGTGCCAAAATCAATGGTACTGCAGTCGTGAATGCCAGGTAAGAACAAAAATGGTTATTGCATTAAAAGTACTCATGTTTAATTAATTATTTGCTTTTATAAAACATTCGTTTCAGCTGCGTGGTTGGGACTCACATTACCGCACTTGTGGCATTTAAGTAGACTACCCATAGGATATCAGCATTACTAATGTTTATAAACTATAACTATCGCATATGAGCTACTATATTTACTTAACCGCGTAACTCACTGAAAGATATAGGACACTGACGGAAGATTTTCAATTGCGTTTCATTGAATTAATTTCGTGTACCTGTACTCCATAACCGGTCATCCTATAAATAGATGAAATACCTTAAGATTACTTTGAACAAGTAATTAATTTGTTTAATTTATATATAGGATGAGCGGGGATTAGGCACATATGCAAGAAATTAATTCAGTGAATTGTAATTTAATATGTAATATGCCTAGCTTGTTTAAGTTGATAGGGTTTACACATAATACTTATATTTACTTCAAAAATGTGAAACTAAAATGAATTGAACATTTTGAGATTGAATGCAATTTACTATGAACAACGCGCGAAGTGCATTGTGTTTTATAATCAAATTGATCAAATGTTGTTCCTCGTTTTCCAACTTTATTATTAATTTTTGAAAATAAGATATCATTGACATCTTGGTTGCTACATAAAATACCCATAACTTTTAATGAATTAATATATATATATTCTGTTTCTTTGCATACAATTCCATGCTTAAGATAAAATAAACAAGTTCATATTTATTTACAAACACTTTTTATTTAATTTTCGGCAACCTTCTGAGCCGAAAAAAAGTAGTTCAACAAAATAAAAAGACTTTTCAATACAATTTTAGAATGTGTTTTGAAATTGGTGTGTATAAAATTTAAAAGTTCACCGTTCACAACACTGGTTGGCTTAGCTTATCGGCAAATTAATGACAATGCCCTAAAATTGCGGCAAGCTTATCGTTAAAATTTTAAATAGAATTTTCTGTGGAATTCGACAAAACTCATGACAATATAAACGTACCATTGCATTTTTCTAGACGTTTTAGGGCTTTGCAAAACGCCCACTTACTTACTTTGCCTGCGCACTTGGCACAACAGCTTGATGTCATTGATATGCAGCCGGAGGGGCTGTCTCCTGGACCACGGACCACGTCTCAGTTTCCGGATGCGCAGCTGCCGGCTGCAGTAGAGCCGGAATTTCAGATTCTGACTCCATACGGCACCGGTCGAGGCGGAAGGCGTGACGCACTTGTAGGCATACTGCCACCATAACTGAATGCTCTGCTTGGTGCTGTGCTGGAATCGGGACGGGATGGGCAGTGGTTGGATTTAGTCGGTGTGTGAGGGGCGGCAGTAAACATTATGGGACCCTAAAAGGTGTCCAGGGGGAAAAACACTCACCATGTAGACGGGCAAGACGTAGAAGCGTTTGCACTCGCGCCGAATGAAGTTGAAGGCGATGGGCCGGCGGTACGTCGATGATACTTTGGTCAGGTGCGAACGGATCGCACTGGCGCTCGTCGAGCGCTGCAGACGCTGGAGCTGCAAAATAGAATGGCGCGCGCACGTAATTAGTTTTCCAAACAATTGAGCACATTTGAGAACACGATTAATATGCGCAAAATGTTTGCAAAGAGTTCGCGCCAAATTTGGCTTGCAAATGATTCGAATCGCGCTGCGTTTCAGTTGAGTTATGGCCCATAACTGTGTGTACTCGGTACTATATTGTAATTGAACTAGACACCTGGCTCTGGAAAACAATGCCGCCGAATTTGGATGGGTTATTTGTATTTTATTTGTATTTAAGCGGTGGTTGAAAAGAAGAAAACGAGAGGTGATACGCCTTTTAATATTTTTCACGCACTCAAACATTCAGTTGTTCATAAAAACAAAGATATTTCTTCAAGACTAAGATTCCACTGGAATTTGGGTATTAAATTTTAAATTTCTTTCTAAATTTGTATAAAAACTATAAAATTAATTTTGTAAATGTAGGTATCAACCTAATATTTAAATCAGAACTTCAAAAAATATTTCCTCTGCTAATGAAGTTAAAATTTATGGTTTGATAGAAAACAAAATCCTATTGTAATAAAAACGCTTATCAACTGAACACGAAGTTTATGTGCTATTTTATTGATTTCTAACACAGCAAAAAGCATTGGTTTTTCGGAAAGTATTAAGCCAGAAAGTTCTGTCTGGAGACAGAAAGACAGCTAATATCGTTATCATTTAAATTTTTATAAACAGTTATGAATGAAGTGATAATATACCGACATTATCTGTATGATTAATCACCTTGCGAGCAAGAAATCATTATCTTAAGTTTGGAAAACTCCACAATAGCTCTGGTATTTCTGGTTGGGGGAGTGGGGATCGCTGGGGTGCGGCTTCGATGGATTCGGTGGGTGGTGCGCGTCCCTGAACCTGCTTATCACAGCGGCAAGCAAGTTGCTGTTGTTGTCCACATAATAACTATTGGAATTACAGTTGCAAGGCGGCGTGGATTGTTTTCGCAGTGAGCTGAAGTGACAGGCGGGCGGCCAAGTCATCCAACTCGAAGTTGATAGCAATTAAGTCCGCTTATCAGTTTAGAGACTCGATTCAAATTAACACCCCAATGGAACCCCCTTAATCTCGGAGCCCCCCAACCCCCTTAATCCCGCGGCTTCGTGGCGGCTTGTCCTCGGCGATGACTACACGCCGACAAGTTTTTGCTATTATTAAACAGTTTTACAAGCCGCTAACGCTCAGAAATTGTTGCTAATTAGCTGAGCCGCGCACGCCGGCGCAGCAGACCTTAAAAGCGACCCACCGACGGGAACACGGGCGGTGGAGGGTTAAGAGTGGATGAACACTAATAAAGGTGTACGCTGGTATGAGTAACCGTGCACCGCGAGAAATGATCCATTGCTTTCAAATTACTCTATTACTACGTTGACTAAAAGTTGCCATAATGTTTAAAAAATCTATGAATGTTTAATTGTTTGACCTGGAAGTAGTGATTTATCTTCAGGTATATATAAACCATTAATATAAAAACCTAGCGATCGGAGAGCACAAGAATGTCTTCCGAAAATCCTAGCAATTATTATTTTTAAATAATTTAACATATGGTGAATTTAGAATGGAATGTGGCAGAGCAGAATAAGTTAATTTCCGATTTAGTTAGGCCCCCGTAAAACCAAATTTTCCGTCAGTGTACGTGTCAAGATTGGAGGCAATCGAGCTGAATTAGATGCCGCTGGGGTCGATTGAGTGCAGATCAAGCGATGAACAATCGAGTGCAGGGTGCAGCGTGAGCCGAGCAATTAGATTCTTCGAAAAAATCTGAAATTATGAAAGGACCTTGAATGCAATTGCTCTGTGCCGCAATTTGCATGTGAATAATGGCAAAAATCACATCTCCCGTTGTCAGTCAGTGCGTATGCGTAATATTTATGTGCGCCAGACTGTCTGTCAGTGAAAATTATGTTGTCCTAGCGTACACTTTCCCTATTTATTTACTTTTTAGCCATTTGCCCCCCGGCAATTAACACGGCGAGCGACGAGACAAACAAAAACAAATCTAACGCTTCGTTTAAGCGATTTGTGTGCGCTTTTTAATGAAATTCGCTGCTGTGTTTGATGTTGTATTAGGGGTATGTGCGTGCTACGGACTTTTTGTGGCCCGTGTCCGTTGGGCTAGCACTATCTCCATCTCTATCTGCCCGGCTACATCTATCGCGATCGGTCGCAGGGTGTCGCCGTGCTTGAGTTTGTGGCTATGACTCAGCAGCGCAACAACAGTAAACAAATATCACGGGGAAAGGGTTGGGCTCCCGCCTTTCAGATACCCATTAAATCTAGGAATCGCTTGCTATTTAGCTGTTCAACTATATACAGGCCAGGCTATACTCCACGCTTATAGGCATATCAAATTTGCCACCCATAGTAATAGTATATTGACCTCTTAAATGATTTTGTGGCGGTTTTTATCTTTTGAAATGTCTGCCGGTAATAATTTTAACATTATTTTTGATTCGTATTAAGGGTAAGCCTAAAGCGGAAATAAACTGATAATAAGCAAGGAGTTTTTCACTGCCATATCAACTGGCAGGACTTCTGACATTGTCCTCCCAAATGTATGCTACATAAAGTGTATTTTTCTTTTGAAGGCAACGAGGAAACCTAATAAGAGTTGTCATACTTCTTAGAAGAAAGTAATAATTATGAGATATTTCAGGTGCGCATGGAGTGATGTTGCAATGCACATGATTTAAGTAACGAAATGTAACACACTATTGGCTTGAACGATGCTTGCAAGCATCCCCGAGCATCACACAACTCAAAGCAGTACGACTTCCTACTGTTCGTACCAAACCACCTGGGTGGCCTAGCACGCCCCTGGCACTCCACACACACCGGGTACCACAACTCCCACCACAATGAATGGCGGCGCTGTGTTCCGTTCTGCTTTATTCTGCCAGTTGATTTCTGTTCGGGTTCGGATCCGCTCATTCAGTTCAGTAGTGCTCAGCTCGGTTGGTGCGACCACGGTTCGTGTCGATTGCGAATTCGCAACCCAGTGTTCCGTTGCCATTGTCGGATTGGATCGGAGAGGCTCTTGCAAGTAAAATTCATGTTAATGAATGTTAATTTATACATTTGTAAGAATCTAAAATCTGTTTTTCCATACACAACAATTATTGACGCGGCAGTCGCTTGGCGGCGATTTCGAATTTGGAAGCAGTCGCGCCCGAAACGTCGCCGCGAACGCACCGATCGGTTAACGGTAAAGCTATAGAAGGCGCTTTATTGAACGCTAGTAGGGTCCAGGATAGTCCATGATGGATCCCGAGTTTGTGAACAAATACAATCAGGTCCTGAGCCGGCTGAAGCTGGTGGAGAACTTCGATGGCAGTGATCCTGGCAAGCTGCCGCAGTTCCTCCATAAAATCGAGGCCCTCATGCCGGCCATAAACAGTTTCGATGACTATTACAAGGCTCAGTTGATAGGACATATCAAAAATAAGTGCACAGATCGAGCGAGGGAGGCGGTCTTCACGCGACAAATGAGCGCTCCCGTGGGCAACGGCAATGGAGCCGGGAATGGCCACCTCCTGAAGGCCGAGTCCTGGCTGAAGCTCAAGGATCAACTGCTGTACAACTATGCGGAGAAGGAGTCCAGCTATTCGTTGATACACAAAATACGGAGCGCTGTTTTGGACTCGAATATCGAGCTGTATTACCAGAAGATGGCCAAGCTCAAGCACAGACTGATCAATAGAAAGCTAACCCACAATGACACCCTGTATAGTCTCGAGGACATAGAGCGTATCACACTGCAGGTGTTCAGGGATCACCTGCCCGAGCCCACACACTCGATGATCCTGCGGCGGAATCCCAAGAGCATGGAGGAGGCCTATCGCTACATAGTGGAGGTGCAGCAGCAGTTCTACACACAGAGCGGATCTCTGGCCAGTGACCACCAGGCGGCCACCTTCAGCACCAGCCACAAGCAGCAGTCCTACGGAGTGGGAATGGGAGGAGTGGGTGTGAGCACCGTGGGAGTGGGCGTGGGCATGGGCATGGGCGCCGTGGGCCTGGGACTATCCTCCTACGTCCGCCAAATGTCCAACGACAAGGGCCAGCAGAACAGCACCAAGAGCTACTACAACCAGTCGGCTCCTCCGGTGGGCGCCGGCAAAAATCATCCCATGTTCAAGAGCATGGGCAACCCCACCTTCAAGTCCAGCTTCAGCTACAATGGCACCAGCAACAATTCCGGCATGGGATCGAATTACTCGAGTGGCAAGAAGTCGGACATGAAACAGAACTACCAGCAGCAGAAGAGCCAGAACTACTCAAAGACCTCATCGGCGAGTGCTTGGAAGAAGTAGTGGATAGACGGATAGACGATCTCCCTCCCAATCGATGAGCGATCCAGTGAGATAAGCGAATCGAGCATGACCTAATCCCTTGGAGCCTGTGACTAAGCCAAGGCAAAGTGCTTGCCACCTCATGCTAATTACCCCGATACCTCACCCTCTAATGGTGATGATGTGCCGAAGATTATAGGATGTGAATATAGATTAAAGTGATGTGAGCACTACTGGGTGCAACGAGATGGAGCTGATCTGCCCTGTTACCAGATAGCCCTAGCAAATCTATCTATCAGTACAACTAAGACGATAATGATGTGAAAGTTTAAATAAAACAAATAATACAAATGTTAATATTATAAATAACAATGCAGCAATTCAAATACCTCCACGGATTAAGCGTACTAGATTGCACATGCAAATAAAACTAACAGAAACAAACAATACTGATCAAGATAATACAAATAGAAAGTAAGGGCAAGTGTGCATATGGAACCGAGCAATAATAAAATCAAATAAAACGTAAAAGAACTGGAAGTATATGATGGGAAGTATTATGAATCACTAGTTCGAGATGATAGCAATGATCTTGTCGAAATACAAGATAATGAAGCCGATCAAGATAATTGAATGCATGATGTTCGATCTGCCATAATGATGACATCGATCGCGTGTCCATCGATGATGATCAAACTGCAGACAGTATCGACATGTTAATTATTAGCTCATAAGACCCGAGTGTACATAGCCCCACACCTCAACCTCAGCCCCAGTCACATTACCTCCTATATCTCCCGCAAATCGCCTATTTTTAACAACAATCGCCCACCTTCAAATTTGTTTTTTGTTAACAATAAAGTGTAAAGTCTAACAGCCTATTTGAATATCTGTGTTGGGCGGTCAGGGGTATTAAATTTGGCATAGTTTGTTTACTTACAATTTGCTGGGCACTTGAACTATGGGCGGAGCCCCTCTGATCGTAGCCCATGTCCTGAGGCGCTGGCTCCGATTGCTGCTCCTGGAGTTTCACTGTCTTGGGTCTCGACCGCTCCTTGACATCTTTTTCGGGCTTGCCAAAGAGTCCTCTCTGCTCCGCCCGGCAAATCAAGTACTTTTCATTCAAATGAGTCAGGGTTTTTCGGCGTACCAAGGCCAAGTAACTGCCCGTGGCCTGCTGTTTGATGCAATTATCTTGATTGATGCATATATCCGGCACGGTGTCCTGCACGAACTCGTCGATATCGGGTGTAACTATGAGGTCAATGCTGTCCACGCGCGGCAAGGGGGGAGCTGTGGAGCCCGGAGGTCCAGGAGCTGTAGGTTCCGGCTGCGTGGAGGGTTTGTCCTTCTTCCTGGGCGAGTCCTTGCTCATTGCAGCGGCTGGAATGTTGGCTGCCTCCGCTTCAGCTATCGCCTCCAGACGCTTTTGCTCCTTGTATGCGTTGCGATGCTTTTCCAGTGCCAGTTTATTGATCAGCTCCAGGACATGCTGCACCATATCCTCGTTTTCAGTGCCCACAATCGAGTGCGTTTGATAGAGAACAAACTGCACTTGCGGTCGCGACATCGACATGGTGAGGGTCAGCAGCTGCTCCTCGAGGATCATGGCCACCCGCTGGCGACCCTCATCGCTGACCTCCGATTCGGTGAGCACCTCCAGCATACTCAGATCGCCACCCCGGGAACAGATTAAATCGATGGGATCCGAAATTGCACTAAAGGAATTCGGTGGAGTGGCGAAGATTCCCACAACCGTTCGAAATCGATTCGATTCCATGGGAAACGAAGTGAAAGCATCGCCAAACAGCCTGATGTTATTAACCCCAATGGATTCCATATAGCGACGATACTCCTTCAGATTTGCCCCAGCTCCATAAACATAAAAGTTGTTCACCCGGTTGATGGAGTAAAACAAGGCTGCCAAGTATGCGGTGGATCGAGGTGAACCTATGTGGGTCTGCAATATGTCGCCATCCAGCTCAAAGTAATCCATCAACTTGGACATGATTGCCGGACCAAAGGTGAAGTTCTTGTCCTGGAAGGGAATCAATACTTGGAAAAACAAATATGTTTTTGCATGCGGTGCAGTTTTCACATATCATATAACCAGACAAATAGTTGTTTATATAAAGTTGGATTTTCATGTCGCCAGCTTACGTGTCAATGTTTATTATTATTAATATATACGCAGTGTTGACTTACTTAAGTTCTAGTCACAAGCTGTCTACGGCCACTTTTTCCGGGAAAACTTCCCCGTACAAACGAATTGCTTTGTAATTTTTATAGACACCTTTACATTACTATTACTATTAGCTCTATCAGGAAATAAACGTTTATAATAATAACTGGTTCAGTTTATAATTAATATAAATCGTAGTATCGACAATACAAATATTCCGCGTTTAATATCATGCAAAAAGGTGAAAATTCATTAACCCTATAAATATATTTGGTCTTACATCACAATTATATTGGATAATAGTAACCCTTGGGCTAAGGCCACAATATTAACATATGAGTTATTAATAATCAAAACCATTTATACATAAGACATAAATACTAGAAGTCATAAAAAAACGTAGATTCCTAGCAGAGCAGCTATATTCCCCTTAACAAATTTAAAAAGTAATATGATCTTCTCACCTGCATTATAAAGTAATGTTTACTCATCAGCACGGATTTGGTAAACTCGCTGCGATCCTTGGGAATGCAGGATATAACCAAAGGACATATATTGTCCCATTTACAGTGCTGGACCAGAAGTGGCTCCTCATCTTCCGGTCCGTGGACAGTAAAGCCCATTTCTGTAAGTATCTTATCCGCCTCTTCTTTATTTCTAGCAATTAAAATACGTTTTATAGTAGCCTAGTATAATGATCATATTCACAAACCGTATTAAAAATGGATTTATCCAACCGGTCACAACAGGATTGGCAGCTGCGATGGCCACCTTCTCGTTTTGGAGGTGGATAGGAAGCAGTTGAGAAAGCCGGAGTGCTCCCACCCCGATTCTCATCCGGGAAATGGAAGCTGCCAATCGAATGCGATGTTGCCAAAGGAGATCCGCGTGCTCTGTTTATAATTTGCATTGAGAAAGACTTTAGGGACCATATTTTCACCCACCTGTAACTTCAGACTCCTTGTAAAGACTCGCTTGCAAATCCTTTTCCTCGGAATTTCGACCCTTGAACTGCCGATCGTAGAGTTCGAAGAGCATTAACCAAATCCTTTGTTCATCGTTTTTGTACTGAGAAAAATTAGGGATAAACTCCTATACTTTAAAATTCCTCTAATCTAAGCATTAAGGTTATTTATTTTATACTTAATATTGCAAAACATGAAAAGATTCAAGTCAAGTACTATCCTTTTCAAAACCTATTGTCAATGTTTTTCTAATATATCAAGTTTACCGACCTCTTTGTGCTCCTCAAAGAAGGAGACATCGTCCAAAGCGTTCGACATAACCACCTTATCTAAAATATAAAAATCACAACATTTTCATGATAATAAATTACTTTAATGACAACCCACATCGGAAGACGTCGTAGATCAAGGAGAAAGCCAAACGCATCTCGTGCTCATTCTGGAAGTCCACTAAAATCGGTGGTTTGCGGAGCAGTTTGGCGGCATTGGCGATTGTGGGCAGAGTCCAACGTGCTCCGGCTTTCAATTTGATCTTCACCGCAGTGGAATGACAGTACTTAAGGGTCCTACTCCGTCTTCCACATGGGCTAACTCCAGGGGATATGATCTTGGTTATGCGCAAGGGATCAAACACTGGTTTTTCCTTTTTATTGATATCGTGTAGGGTTAGCGCTTCATCGGAAGATTCGTTCACATGGCGCTGAATCTCCAACAGCATGTAGTACATCTTGTCCTGCCACTCCTCATCGCTGGGCAGATAGATTTGCTTGGTTTTCTTCAGCTTTTTGCTCTGCTCCTTGAAGATGGCCGGATACACCGAGAAGATGTCCGCCAAACTCAGGAAGAATAGTTGGTTTGACATGTCGGAGTTTGTGAGCTCTTAGCAAATCAGTAGCAGTAGATAGTGCTCTGAAATATTTACTATTTATGATTTTAATAAGTTATATCTACTTTCCTTAAGCGCACTTTTCAGAACATTAGATAATGTTTATGTATTTAATTAATTTAATTATATTGATATAATACATTTTAATCCACTATCTGGGATCAAACTAATTTCCGCGAAGGCAGTTTATTAAACCATGGAAAGCCACCAAAATGAGGCCGGGGTTTTTTCAGATTATAATTACTTTAGTTGGTTCCACTAGTAATACCTGCACTATCTCATAATCTACAACCTTTTAGCACGTTTGGCTGACAAACGCAAAATTTCGAAATGTCATTTGATGTTGTTTGCTGTACGAATTGTTGTTTTAATACTATAACTTGTATGTAAAGTTAATTATTAGATTTAAGCACTAGGTCTCATAACTAATTAAGGGGTTTTAAATTAGTTCACCGCCTAGCTGAAAATTCATTCTAACATTTCAATTTTTAATTGTAATTAAGAATGTTGCACTCAAAAGAACTACTTTTACAATTTTTAAGGAACTTTTAATATTATACAGCTCAGTGGAAAACCACTAAATTACTCCCGGAAATATTTTAACGCGATCGGTGAATTGGGGATAGCCCCCACAATTAGCGAGATACCGATACCGTGCTCCAATTAGGTACAGCTATTATATTGAAATTTCAGCACGATCGGATTGTTATATTGACGGATCTATAATTACGAGGGTTTTCCGGATAAACGGGATACTCCCCGGATAAACGGACTGCGTCAAGTAACGGTAAAAAGAGCAGGAGCGAATGCGAACCGAGCAGTTGCAGTGAACAGCGGCAACTGGATTAACGGAGCTCGGGTGGACTCTCCTTTCGATGGCGTGTCTTTCATCTCCCTTTTTGCCTTCGAGCGCACCCATTTTCCGCCCGCTCGTCCACAACCAATTCCAATGACAATGACAACTGCTGATTTTCATTCTCAGTCTCGTTCGCTCATTTCCATTTCCATTTCCATTTCGTTCGGTTCGTGCTTAACACCAATTCAATGCTGGGAGCCTCCGAGTTCCGATTCCGAATCGACATCCAACCAAGCTGCATGCTCCATGGAATTACTTATCTATCTCTTGCACTCCCCATCTGCCCTCTCCCTTCCACCCACCTGTCGCCGCGTGCAGTGTGCACGCCAGTGCTGTCGACCTCTCGCTCTAACAGCCGCCTATCTTGTCAGTTGTAAAAAATATTCGCCACAAAGGACAAACGTACCGTTATAGCGTTACCGTTATAGGCTTTCTTTTAAGAATGAGTGTGTTTGTCAGAGCGATAGGTGTATACAGATGTGATCAAGTTATTAGCAATGACTATTAATAAAAGGCAATATGTAGTTATCATATCCCTTTAACCATGCTTCTTTAATAATAGGGAAATATGGGTTCAGTGTGGAATTTAAACTATCAACAGTTCTTAAAGAACCAAAACCCTTAATCAGACAAGCAACTGGTTGTCTTTCTTTCCTTTGAAACTGAAAACATCCATACTATTCTGAATCCATTAAATGAACTGCTATGCTTTTGACTACAGCTGTAACGGCGGATGGGCGGATAAATGGATCCAAACGATATCACACTTACCTTTTATTTTTTACGGCTCCAGCACGATTGGCGTAATAAATTCGCTCTGATTGGAATATTCGTCTTCAATAAATTGTCAGAAATGTCGCTGACAGAAATGGAGGGAAAATGGGTTGGGTGGGCGTACGATTGTTCCTGGTATTCTTCGATGTGTTTGCCTTGATTAGTTGGGGCTTACAGCCCCCAAAAGCCCCTGCCATTTGTTTGATGTTTGATGGCTTCGGAGCGTTCGAATCGAACATCAAATTAAATGTTGATTAGACAACTTCGAAACTCTGGTGAAATGGGGCAGGTGGAAAGAATTTATTGGCCTAGGTCAAATATCGATTATCGCCCCCTCGTCCACAAAGCCGCCATAGCGATATTGGGTCAGATTGAATTGAATGTCAATTTGATTGGCATATCTGGGTGCAAATATATAATGTAGGGCTGTACAAATATTTATATATCCTTTGTGACCTTGAGCCGGGCAAGAAAGTTCAGTGCTGGGTGTTTACTTCTTCACTTGGCCTAATTGAATTGCCTGGCTTTGGTTAACTTCTTAACTGAGATCAATTGTAATTGGAGAAATTGGAAGAAATCATCGTATCAATTAAAAGTGCCAACAAACTGATTCATCTAGCCTGATTGCTGAACACTAAAAACGGTGACCACACAGAAAAGATTCGGTTTGCTATCGGGCAAAATTTACAACCATGGGCCAGCTAGGCCAGTATGACTGTTTAGATATGAATAGGCAAACTTGAATTAGAGTTATCAGGGCTTTTTCTGCTAAGATAACTCAGGTGTCATAATTAAATTTTTCCTCCGTTTCCCGGACAGCCGTGGCCAAGTAAAGCCACCCCGGCTTAAAGTCGACCGATGCGACTTCTTTATCGGGACAGTGCGTGTCAGCATCGTAAATCAGTTTCCGCACATTCGGGGCTTTGTTTTGTTTTGTTTGGTTTTTTTTTTGTTTTTGTTTTTTATTAAGAAGCATATTTATTATATATAAGATGTATGTAATACAATAATTTTTCTTTCTGTCCGGGTTTGCTCTTCTGGTTTTTACGCTATTATGGTTTCGGTTTCATCTCGGTTCATCGTTATCGTTATCATTTTCATTTAATTTTTGTTTCATTTTCTTTATCCATTTTATATAATCATATAAAACACTGAGCTACAATACAAATATTGTGATAAAAACTTACAACATAACCTTTAATACATAAAAATACTTGCGTAGTCTACAAATCGTATCGTTTTAGATTTCTTCGTGGATCGATCGATCGCCCGCTCGTCTTCTCCTGCTTCATTTCTTGTTTTTGACCTTCCCCTAAATTGTTTTCACTGCTTCTGTCGCGCCTCATTGGGTTCTGTATATGTATTTGTTTTCGTTTTTCTTGATTCCTTTATTTCTTAGTTGCGTGAGTTTTACCCTATTCAAAGACTTCATTCATTCTCCATCTGTTGCTGATGACGATTCTTTGATTTTATGAGAAGTCGACGAAAAAAAAAAGGAAAACAATAAACACCGAGGAATCCGTGAATAAACGGGAGGCCGACTGGATAAGGAGAAAGTATTGGAGTAGGAGAACGCGAGGGGAGTGACCTCCCCGCGGAGAATTCTTCCAGTTCTTCCGCTCCTGCATCTCCTGCTTCTCAGATGTTTGTTGTGTTTTCTATGAGTTTGTCGTTCGTCTTTGTTGTCTGCAGCATTTTAATTACAATAGAAATTGTGTTTATATTTATATATATATTTGCATAATCCATATCATTAAATTAAATCGTATAAAACACAAGACAGTTGAAAAATGAGGCGTATAATAATTTTGTTTCTGTGGACGTACCAAAAGAGAATTCACATACATACATATAAAAGTAGTTACAAATTCGTACAAATTAAATGGTAAATTTTGTTCGTTTGGATGGCCGAGTATTCTTTTTGGTTCGAATTGGTTTGATTTTGTGTATGGGTGTGAAATATCGATGAGCATCTCATACTAAGGGATTTTGGTTAGCAAAATCATAATACACAGTACAAGTACAATAATATTTATAGAAATAAAATATAATATAATAAAAGAACCAACATACAGTTTTTATGCTTTGTTGTTTGTTTTGTTTTTTTTATACACATCTTTATGCATAATGGGCGTATATAATGTTTATGTATATAATTATAAGTAATAAATTTTATCCATTTTGTTTAATTATTTGCACACGAGAATCAAAATTACTATTTGCAATCATATATATATAAAAAATAAACTTAATTGCCGTCATTCCGTTATATCATTCCTATACCATTCGCATTCTCATCCCCATTGCATGCCATCCCTACTAACCATCACTATGCGCCATATCATATCTTCCTATCGTACTGGTTGCGGATCCTTTCGTTACTTTAAGCTTAATCAATTTTGGAAGAGTAAACAATACCATCGAGTTGCAATTGTTGCTGCATATGCTATGTATATGTGTGTAGAGTGTGTGTGAGAGTGAGTGTGAGTGTCGATGAGTGTATTATATAGATCGCTTTTGAATGAAAACTAATGATTAATGCGTATTGAATGCTGTTCTACACCCCCCTTACTTTTCATCCTATCTGGCTTCACTCTTTTTACTCACGTCTTGCTCACTTGTTCTTTGTTTTATTCGAGTTCTTTAACTAATTTTTTATAATTTCTCCCCCCGCTCTCATCGCTTTCATTCATCGTCTTAATATTTATACGTATAAACTTTTATAATTTTATACTAAATGGTTTTTACGGTTTTTTTTTACGTTTTCTTCATTTTTTGCTTTTTGTTTCTTGTTCTTGTAATACAAACGTCGTCATGTAAATATATAAAAAAAGATGTCCAAAGTTTTACGTTACGTTATTGTATATGCTTTTTGTTTTTCTCATTACTTAGTGGATCGTTCTCTTGCTGATGGTTTTGCCTGCTTTTGCTTTACAGTTGTCCTAGGTTTGTAAATGGGTGTTCTTGATGTTTTTTTTTTGTTTTTCGAGTGGTTTTCTGATGTCTGAATGCTTATATATGAGAGCGTAGCGCCTAGCTATATAGGGCCTTACTATATAGTATCGTACTACATATGTATATATATATAATGTGTGTGTATGTGGGTGTTTTTGTTTCCTTTGATCATACACATATACTAGATATATGTACGCATATAACTAACGGCGAATTTACTTTGTTTCCTCCTTCTCTTTGTTCTCCTCAGTCGACTCCTTCTCGTTTGACTGCAAGTTAAAAGGGACATGCTTAGTATGTAGGAAAAGGAATGTTTAATTTAAGACTCGAGGGTTATTCCTTGTCCTTGGCGAGTGGAATTAAATAACAATTTACATAAACATAAGTAAGTTGTTACAATTCCAAAACAAGGATAGACCAAAGGCATTAGAAAAACAAAATGCGCAACGGCCAATATGCACTATGCAGCCACTTTTATTCTATTGTCTTTGGATAGACCATCTGCTTTTGAGGATTTGAGCCTCACCTTGTCCTTCTCCAACTCCTTCTCGATCTTGTCGCCCTCAGTGCCCTCCTGTTCGTTTGATTTCTCCTGCTCGCCACCCTCCTTGCCCTCCTTGGTCTCGGGCCTGTTGGAAAGGTGGGAAAATGAATTAGTAAGCAGATCCATTAGAAAGTTTTAAGCCAAGACTACTTACTCTGGCTTGGGAATGTGCGCATTGAGGTCCAGCTTCGTGCAGATCTCGTCCCAGTCGGGGAAGCACTTGTCCTTCATGCGAGAAACGTGGCCAATCAAGTTGGGGCACTTCTCGGTCATGTAGTCGCGCAGCGGATACGCAATGTCCTTGGACAGATAGTGGAGCTGCGACAGGACCGCGAAGGCCACCACATCCAGGGTGGTGGGCTCGTCGCCAAAGAAGAACGGCTTGCAGTCGAGCATCTCGCTGAGAACCTTCAGGTCGTTCTTGCCGAACTCCTCGATCTCCTCGGCGCTGTGGACACCGATGCCATGCGCCTTCAGCTTCTTCGTGCCCTGGAACCACTTGATGTGTTGAATAGTTGTTTTGCCGTACAGCAGTTACGGATGGGGGTTACGGGGGATGCACAAGCATACGTTACGGAATCAGGGTGTTGGAGGTGATGTGAGTTTTAAGATTTGGGGATCGGGGGCATTACGCATTACCCAGTTAGATGTTCAAAACCAAAGTAGTATGCAAAAAAGAACGAAAAAGAAAAAAGAGAAAAACCATGCAAGAGTTAGTCGTAAAATAACGATTGTTTTCCTTTCGATTTCCCGTTTGGGTTTCGATTTTGGTTGGATTGGTTATGTGAGAACCGATCGAGATATAAACAAATGCGTCCCTCCAGGGATTTATTGTTTATGCCATCGGGGTTTTCGGGATAAACTATGTGTGGGGATGGTGGTGGTGTTTGGAGCTTCTTTTTTTATGTACAGCTAGGTGCGATATAATACGCCACCGCTTGCTTAGTTTTAATTTTCAAGTATTGTTTATTTACACTACCCATCAATCCCCGCCTAATCCACAACGCCAGCCAACTCGAGAGCCTGCCCGGCTTTCGATTACGATTTCAATATAAACAAAGTGCGGATATCTCCGGTTTTGGGAACTACTGGAGGCTCAGCTGCTGGCGTTGAGTTTCTGAGACATCAAAATCAACTACATTAAATTTCTCTACTTGACTGGCGGGCGTCTTCCTGTTTTCACTTTCACCTATTTCGTCTGATTTCGATTAACACTGGAGTTCAATACATCAATATATTTATGTTAGATTAAGAAGAGTACAGTCTCTTCCAACAAAATGGTAATGATCTTCAATTAAACTTAATAGATTAATATGCACCAACATTTGAGTTATTTGTTATGTATTATTACTTTTGCCAACTATAATAAACCTTTACAGCTAGAAGTACGTGTCAAAAGGTGTTTATAAATAGGAAATATTAGGAAATATTATAAATGATAGTAAACAACTGCTGTAGAACCAATTACGATAATGACCAAAAGTATGCTATGTTCCAATGAAAATTCTAATCAAAACCATACAAATTGTGGGAAAGTGAACCATGATCATGACCTCAAATATCACAAACTATCATCCAGTTACCTTGCGACCAAATGTGATCTTAAAGAAGAAGTTCAGAATGGAGTTGGGCAGCCGCAGGCCGAGGGCGTGCTGCAAGTTGACCTTGTAGCCCTTGAGCACATTGTCCGGATACTTGGCGCGCCAGTAGAAGATTATCCAGATCAGATGGTTCTCCAGCATGGCAATCGTGGCGTACGAGACATTCCTCTGCTCGGCGGTGAGTCCCGAGTCCAAGTTCTTCTCATATTTGGACGACAGTTCCTTGATGATAATGGCCGAATCGGCGATTTCCTCCCCATTCAGCTCGATGAACGGCAGCTGACCTTTCTTGGAGCGGAAACGCATCTTATGATCAACATTCTGAAAAGCGAAGAAAGGGAATACATGTACAATTTATTTGTCGTTGTGTGGGATGAGTAATTGTGTGAGGAATGTGGGGAGAGGGTGATTGTTTACCCTACTCTTTATCTGCGGGCAGCGTGCAACTCCTACATGGAGAATAAATATTACTTTCTGATCATTCCATTATTGAATAATTATATAATTGGTTATACAAATTAATGTAAATAACTGTAACTGTTATATTTTAATTTAGTTTTTAGCTATTGGATTTATCTGGTATTCATTTCATTAATTCTGTCTATATCTCTAGTAGACTAGCCATTATTTTCATTGGCATAAAATGATTCTAAGACAATATTTTCTGATACAGCTATTGTCATTTTATCGCTTGAACAAGGTTCTAAGGATACCCATAAATTGTAAGTGTCCATATGGAACCAGGAAGATTTTTTTTATTACTACGCCTATGACTAATGCAAAATGTAGTACACTCCCCCGCAAGGATTCCGGCCGCTAGATGGCGCTCATGACATACATCTAGCCGGCAATCGTTTGTTTGCGTGTGTATTTGGGCATACCCTATGTATGCCAAGCAGATGCTGATAAACCAACCACTACACGAGAAGTTAGCTGTACCTCCCGGGAACCCAAAAACCCAAAACCCAGACTCGAAAGTCGAAAAACCCACCCAAAAACCAACACCCCTATACAACGCACACTCACACACACGCCACACAGCGGGAGGGAAAACGTCGTTCCAATTGCCCGCTATTCGAACATTTTGACATATTCCAATGCCTTCCAGTGTGTACACACGTCCGCACGAAACGTTACCGTTAGCAATGTGACAGTTATAGGCGGCGGGTGTCCGGTCTGAACCTTTTCATTTTCAGCTTGGCTGCACAAATCTACATAATAATTTCTAATTAGAAATATGTACGCGGCCATAACAAAGAGCCAACCGTTGGCATATTTTATGCTTTCGCGCCCTCTGCCAAAAAAGGGAGGGGCAGGGTGTGGTTGGCAGCCGGAGAGAATCGGCGAGAGAGCGAAAGGAAAGAGAGAGAGCGCTGTTGTTGTAGAGAGACTAAAATTTTCGGCTTCCAGCATCGCAACGCAACGCTCTGCAAAAAGGGTGGAGTCCATTTTTCAATTCCAATGATCCACAAAAAAGGCAGCTTGTCTGCAGCTTCCTCTTCTCCGGCTACATCTTCTTCTTGTGCCCACGCACAATGCAAATACTTATGTTGTATTAAATCGTTATGCCAATTAAGGCAATCGCTTGTCTCCTCAATCTTCGTTCTTTCATTTTTTTCGCAGTGTAAAAGAGTCAGCAGAAGAAGAAGCAACAGCAATGCAATTATGCAGCCTGCGTGCGCGAGTGTGAGTGTATCCACACCCTTGCAGAGAGAGAGAGAAAGAGAGCGAGAGAGGGGGGGAGCCGGAGCGGGAGAATTGCACTGGAGCGAGTGAGCAACAACAAAGGCCGTACATTGTGTGTTGTTTAAATGCAAATATGCGGTTTATTAATTATAACAAAGGCAGCAACAAAACGTAAAAAAAAACCAAAAAACCAGAAGAAAAAAACTTCATTTCCTCCCAACACAACAGACACACACACATTCGCACATGTACAGTTGCAGCAGGAGAGGCAGCAGCGTTGCCAGAATACCTTGAAACTGCAGCCTGGCAATATTGCACAAATGAAATGGCGCGCCAGCATTTCCATTTGAATTTAATCGCTCCGTGCCCGCAATGCATATGGCAGAGAAAATGTAAATTAATTGCACAATCTACAAGCGCGACACTCAGGAATGCTAGCAATGCGGGCCACCGCCTCAAAGCGAAACTTATGCCCAGTTGTAGTTGCTGCTGTGTTTATTAATGGGTGCCGCCTTCAATGTGGTGTGAAAAAATATGCATTTGGTTTATCATCAATAAAGAAACAACTTCTGCTCTTGTTTACACTGATGAATGTGTGTATACAAAGGAGGGGAGCAGGAAAGAAATGCAGCCGAGCGCAAGCAGCAGGGGGGAAAACTGGCTTAGTCAGTGTCATTTACAGTCACCCTCCCTTTTTTCATGATAAATGCGGTGCAGCAGCAACAAACCATGCCAGAAATGTCAAAGGTCCCCAGTTTGTTGAACTCTTTTTTTTTCTTCATCCTTTTCGTATGCCGCCGTTTTGGGCAGCGTGCTCTTATCAGTGGAAATGGGAATAATCATGATAAATGAAAATGGAAAGTAATTTCCAGCTGCGGGCCGAAAGCGGCCACTGACGGACTGTCAATCATAATTGCCTCTCCTCCTTACGTTCGTGGAATGCAACATATGGGGGCGATTGCTTATCGGCATCTGGAAGGCGACGGCATCAATTAACATTCCGCGCAAGGGGCTCGTTTTTCATTAACCAATGTAATTAATAAGATTAAACAGCAATTGCGTCGCCAGTTTTTGTGCGGGTGACCGCACCCATTTCTCCCCCAGCCACATACAAGTTTTTCCTCTCGTACAGAAAAAATATGAAAAATATGCAAACCGCATCGCGCGCTTTAAAAAGTGAAGAAAAAATAATGGAAAAAAAACAAGCCAAAATGGAAGGCACCATTGGAAGTCGTTGACAGTTGTTTGTCTGCCTGTCCCATCCCCCCACCCCGCCCACACACTATTACAGCTACTTAACGGATAAGAAAAGAAAGGGAAAAGGAGATGGTGAAGGGGCGGAGCGGGAGGTGAAAGGAGAAGAGGGAGACAGCTATTTCTGAGTCCATCTTAAACTGCATCAATTTTTATTAAAAGCAATTACAAGCTGCTGCTGCCGTACACACAGAGAAAATTTGCTCTTGGGTGGAAGGAGTGAGCTTAGTTGCAGGGATTTTAAAGATGCTAACAAAAGATGCATGCACCAAATAGAGATGACAGTGCTGGTATCATCAAATTTTCGCTCAGTGCAAAAAGAAGTCGAATGAAAAGTGAAATAAAAAACAGTGCAGCAACAAAAGACAAAGAGCAGACGGCGAGAGGGAGCGAGACAAAAGGAGAGAGTCGGCAAGTGCAAAATTTGAAGCACGACTTTTGCAAAGGGGAGCACAACGAGAAGGGGCAGGGGGAGAGGCCAGTGGCAGAGTGTAGCATAAAGCAGCGACGCAGCGTCGGCGTCGGCGCACACACAAATTTTATGTATACGCTGCGCACACACACACGCGCACAGGACCAGGCTACAGGTTCACACACACATGGGCGGGGGAAAGAGAGGGCAGGCACAAATGTATCCCTTTTTCAGTTACGGGGCAGGGCAGGTCACACACACATACACCCAGGCATACACATGCACACGGGCAGGCTTAGCAGCACACCATGATGGCGGCGCTGGCTCTCTCCCTTGCGCTCTTCTCTAGGTCTCCCTCTCTCCCGCAGGAACTGGGAAAAAATCTGTACCGCAAAAATGCCTTGAAAATCTGGGATTTCTGGAATATCTGAGAGGTTTCGGCTCTTTTTGGGATTCTACCTAGTCCATTTATGGGTTTTCCCTAATTATCCTGGGTACTTAGAGGGATTCCTTATGTTTGCCCAGGTCTTAATGGAGTTTTTATGAATTTTCAATGGTTTTCCCCGAACTTTCCGATCTCCACTCACCTCGTATTTCAGGCCCACGAGACGCAGCCAGGTCTCCACCTTCAGGCAGTAGGGCGACAGGGAGGGCAGCAGCGGGGTTCGCGAGAACTGGTACAGATAGATGATGTCCTTCTCGAAGTTGGTCTTGTGCACATTGAATTTCTGGGCGGGCGGGGCTTCAGATTTGGCCGCCACAGGGGCTGCCACCGCCTCGTCCTTTTTGGGCTCCTCGCTATCCGGCTGCTTGTCCTGCTTTCCGGCCTCGCCGTCCTTCTTCTCGCCATCGGCATCCTCCGCCTTTTCCACTGCGGGGGCGGCAGCTGGAGCGGCCGAGGAGTCCGCTGGCGGGGCCACTGACTTTTCCGGCTCCTCTGATTTTTCCGCCGACGCCACTGCGGGCGTTTCCTCGGCGGGTATTTGGGCCACTTCGCTTGCCATTTCGATTTGTTGCTTTTGGTTTTTTGGTTTTTTTTCTTTTCTTTTCGATCCGCTTTTCTTTCGCTACTCTTGCTTTTCGCTGATTGAAGTTGCGCTTTCTTTCAGCTAAAAAGATTTCGGCTTCGCACTTTTCCTGCCACTCGCACACACTCACACACGCGAGAGAGAGGGAGAACTAGAGAGCGAGAGAGGAACCACCACTGCGATTCGTTTCGTTTCGAACTCGGATTCGGGTTTCGGGTTTCAGTTGCACGATAGGATATCTTGGCTGGATGCGATTCGCTTTCGGATTCGGATGGATTCAGGAGCCGCTGTATCGACACCGCCGCAACCGCTCTCGGGAGTTTGAAAATTTGAAATGAGCGGATTCGCGTTGCTGAGGCGAGCTGGCGTTGCCGACAGTGTGACCAGACGCTGCAGCGAAATTCTGCCCGAATCCGCTCGACCAAACGCAAATTCCCTAAATCTAACCATACAGCGATTGGAAGAAATTGCAAAGAAAGCTAGAACATTTAAATATAACAGAGTTCAAATAGAATGATTTGTAAAGTTAAACAAAATTGTAAACAAGTAATTTATGAAGAAAATGCAACTGACGCTATCAAAGTTTTGATCAATTTATAGGCGAAAGAGTGTTCACTTGGTTCATAAAGTGAAGTTTAGTGTCTAGCCACTAAATTCTAAATATGTATAGTTTATAATATAACAGAGAGTTCAAATAGAATAATTTGTAAAGTTAAGCAACATTTTAAACAAGTAATTTATAAATAAAATGCTACTGACGCTATCAAGATTTTGATCAATTTCTAGGCGAAAGAGTGTTCACTTGGTTCATAAAGTGAAGTTTAGTGTTTAGCGACTATAATGTACTTGATAAATTCTACATATTAATAAGTTTATTATTTCAAAACTATTATTAAAGACTTATTTTTTCATTTACTTGTTTGACTCTACCTATTTAGGCAAAACTTGTTAAATAAAATATCGTATAATGAAATGCTGGTTATTGTATAAACGAAAATAAAAAGGTATTTTTAATCCCAGGTCCTATTTAGGTAAAACTTGTTAATTAAAATATCATACAATAAAATGCTGGTGATTGCATAAACGAAGATAAAATGGTATTTTTAACCCCAGGTTTCCCTTTTTTTGATAAAAATAGGTATACTTAGGTCTTAGGACCACCGAGAATTATAAAGGACAAACTGCTTCGTTTCGTTATTGAAACGCCACCTGCGAGGAAGTGGCAGAAGTTATGAAAATCGAATTTGTACGGATGGCAACTCCGGACATCTGAGGAAATCAACATGGCAACTACGGAAGTATCGATTGTAATATATCGGTAGTAGCTTTACATTTTTGATACTATCGAGAGTGGCTATCTCACCTCTATCGTTTTCACAAACAAAGATTTGTTTAATTTATTAAAAACGCAGTTCGACTGAACTAGAAATCGAAGTTTATTGCTGCGACAATGGGAGCTGTTTTGGGCCTTTGTTCGGCCGCTCAGGTGAGAAGATTGTAATCTAATTAGCCAGGTAAAATCTGCAGGAAGTTGTGGACATTTGCTACAAATCAATAAAAGCAGACATATGTTTCAAATGCGGAGAAATGTATTATATTAATTTCACAATATTCCTGGATGCTACGGTGCAAAGTTAAATATATTTGTAATTTATATACGGAACACAAAATAATATATAAATAAGTGCGTACCTCCCAATTTTTAAGAAACTTAAGAAACCGAAAGACGGAAATGATACAAATACTTCAACATATCCCTGAACAAGTTGAAATATGTATACAAAATTTCATATGGAACCTTTCAAGAGATTATCATCCTGATTAGTTAGTCCGGAGTACTGACGGAGTACCACTTATTAGCGAGCTGGGTTAAGGACCTATACCTGCACTAGAAATAATGCCTAATAAATGTACCAAGTTCATACTTCATTGCACCATTGCTTCCAGTGCGCCATGTGCTGCGGAGGCACTGCAGCCAGCATGTGCTGCTCCGCCTGCCCCAGCTGCACCAACGCCTCCTCGTCGCGCTTCATGTACGCCTTCATCCTGCTGGTGGGCACTGTGCTGGGAGCAATTGCGCTGTCGCCGGGACTGCAGGACACCCTGAAGAAGATGCCCTTCTGCATCAACTCCACCTCGTCGTATAGCTCCGGGGCACTCAGCGCTGTCTCGGGAGGATCTCTGCAAGTCGACTGCGAGTACGCTCTTGGTTACATGGCCGTCTACAGGGTTTGCTTTGGAATGGCCTGCTTTTTCGCACTGATGTCACTGATTATGCTGGGTGTGAAGAGCTCCAGGGATCCGCGTTCGCACATCCAGAACAACTTTTGGCCCCTGAAATTCCTGATCTGCTTTGGCGCTGCGATTGGAGCTATCTTCATCCCGGATGGATCCTTCGGCCCGGCCATGATGTGGGTGGGTCTAATAGGTGGGCTGGCCTTCATACTCGTCCAGCTGGTCATCATTGTGGATTTCGCTCACTCGCTGGCTGAAAACTGGATAGGTGAGTCATGTTCTTGCTTATCTCCCCACATGATTCATCTCGCTAATTGCTGCATTCTCACACAGAAAGCGCTGAAAACAGCCGGGGATATTACTATGCCCTCGCAGGGGTCACTCTTGTGGGCTACATCTTATCGCTGACTGGAATTACCCTGCTTTATATCTACTTCACCACCGTGAGTGCCGTTTCCTCTGCTTGTTTGCTTGCAATTAACATTATTTGTATATTTCTAGAGTACTGGCTGCGGCATCAACAAGTTCTTCATTTCCATCAACCTCATATTCTGTTTAGCGATCAGTGTTATTTCGATTTTGCCAGCCGTGCAGGAACGCTTGCCCCATTCTGGTTTATTGCAGAGCTCCTTGGTTACCTTATACACGGTGTATCTAACCTGGTCCGCAGTGGCCAACAATCCGGGTAGGAAAACAGCGGCAAACTCTGTATGCATTTCTCACTTGATTTAATGAATCCATAGAAAAAGAATGCAATCCTGGCATGTTCGGCATGATGGAGGGATTCGGCAATGCGACCACCACGGCAGCACCACCCACCCACACCACCAGGGTCACTTTCGACACGACCAACATCATCGGACTGGTCGTCTGGCTGCTGTGCATCCTGTACAATTGCATCAGCTCGGCGGTGGAGGTTTCTAAGATCTCGCACGATAGCAGCGAGAAGCGTGGTAGGTGTTCTGTGCCCATCCCCGTGCTCCGTCCGCATTCCCAGCCATTACCACTTCCACAGTTTCCATCACGCATTCGATCGCCCTCACTTTTCATTTTCCTCGCTGTACAACAAACCCAAGCTAATACTGGTTATTAACACTCATTTGCTATTGCCGCCTTGTTTTTTCTTTATTTTTTCCGAATAACCCAACTAATCCACTTGGTTACTTGGTATTTGAAACTGTGTGAAAACTATGGCCAACTGCCGTTCCTCTTTGCACTCTGATTAATGTAGTTTTAACAGAAGCTCTATCAGACACAGAGGCGGGCACAGATGCCAATGGAAAGCCGAGCACTGACACCGAGACCGAAGGCGTCACCTATTCCTGGTCCATGTTCCACTTGGTCTTCGTCTGCGCTTCGCTGTACGTCATGATGACCCTGACCAACTGGTACAAGTGAGTAGAAGCAGCCTATTCGAGCACGCAACGTGCTAGTAAAATAAAATCACTGCCATGTTATGTCTCCTCAGACCTCACTCGGAAATTGAGCTGTTCAACGGCAACGAGGCTTCCATGTGGGTCAAGATCGTCTCCAGCTGGCTGGGTGTCTTCATCTATGGCTGGAGCCTTGCAGCGCCCATTGTTCTTACCAATCGCGACTTCAGCTAAGCGATTTAAGTACGTTATTGTCTAGGAATGGTGCTTAACCGAGCGAAACGAGAATGCCAAAACGGAACGAGGAGGAACTAGTTTCTGAAACCGATGCAGTTTAACCATACATAATTTTGACTCTACATGTGGTGTCTACTCATTGATCTTATTCTCAAATTGCAAAAGTTATCAATATATAAATTAATCTATATATACATACAAATACAACCAAACTTAACCAACTTACTGATGCTGCTCTAAATGGAGACTCTCCTTAGGCAGAGCTTCTTTGAGTCGTTCGAGTGTGACAGATTTGCCGAGTATCTCCATCATTTCCGCTACGCCGGGACCTTCTTTTAAGCCACTTAGAGCTGCCCTTAGTGTTTTCATCATTTGTGGGAATTTGATGTTTTCCTCTTGAGCAAAGGATTTTAGTTTAAGGTTGAGTTCATCTCTGTGGAAGTCCTGGATTGCGTCGATTAGCTGCAGTAAGTGAGCTAGTTGCTCTGCGGTCAGGTCCTTAATTTGAAAATCGGATGGTTTCACCCACAGGAAACTCAGTTTGCTGCTGCTCAAATCCTGGAGCACTACTAGGCGCTTTGATGACCAATGCAGGACATCCAGTATGTGGTCTTCGGCTAGATCTAAGTTGGAGCTAGAATAGGATAAGATTAGTAAGTTACGCTGCAGGCACATTCCAAGTTAAGGCTTACTGTTGCGAATAGGCCTGTTTCACCAGCTGCTGGACTTCTTTGACCAGTTTTGTGCGACTTTCGTTACCGGACAAACGTCGCACAATCTCCAGGCGATTCAGATCATCGAGCAGCTCGGGATTAAGACGACTCGGATGGGAGTTGACCCGCTCTATGTGGAACTGCTCATAAAGTTCCTGCATGCCGAGCAGCTGCTGCTTGGCATTGGCCCGATGCTCGAATCCTCCGCCTGCAGAGACCACATAGTTTACTAAGGCTTGCGGAAAGTAGCCGCGTTCCCGGAAGTGCTGGATGCCGATGTCTCCTTGACGTTTGCTTAGCTTGGTGCCATCTGCATTCACCAGAAGCGGCAGGTGCCCGAATTTCGGTGGCTGCCAGCCAAAAGCTCTGAGGGAAGACACATATTTGAGTACACAATATCATAGAGCAAAGCAGTAATAAAACGCACTTGTAGAGCAGCAAATGCTTGGTGGTGGATATCTGCCATTCCACGCCCCTCAAGACGTGGGTAATGCCCATCAAATGGTCGTCCACCACGTTGGCGAAGTGATAGGTGGGAAACTGGTCGCTCTTCATGACCACTGGATCGCCTTCGGTGTCGCTGACATTATGGTGCACCTTGCCGTAAATGAGATCCTCCAGTGGTTCCTCGTGATCCGTCAGCTTAAATCGTATGCAGTGGGGTGTTTGCTTGGCCAGAAGCGAATCGACTTCCGCCGGCGTCAAGTGCCGGCACTTGTTATCATAACGTGGAACTTGTCGGGTTCTCAGAGCCTCCTTACGCAACAGATCCAGACGGCGTTCGGTGCAGAAACACCTGTAGGCGGTGCCATTACGGAGCAGTTCCCCTATGGCCTTGCTGGGAATGTGGAGGGGTCTGTGTAA